AGCATCTAAAACAAAAAGTATGTGTTTTCCCCAACTTTTTATGCAAAAATTTACTTTGTTATAATTTACATAAATTTCTATATTTCAACAGGTAAAAATGTCGAGGAAATATCTTTCAATCAACCAAGTTGATGATCATGTTGAAGGCTGGACGGTGTTAATTCAGGTGGTGGAACGCAGCCATATCATGCTCGATCGAAAAGGTTCAACTACACTTAGACGTCACCTGTTAACTGATTCAGAGGTAATATACAAGTTTTCAAATAGTATAGTCTTACTTTGAAAACAAAAAAAAATAATTAGTATTTTCTAAAATGTTTATTCAGGGAACTTTAGTTTCAGTCACCATATTTGGAACTCACATCAAACATTTTGACAAGAACAAGAAATTGCTCCCTTTCAAAAGATACTACATTTCAAATGCAAAGGTTAAGGAAGCTGAACCCATGTACAGAGTTGGCAACTATGCTTATAGTTGGGTTCTATATAGCAATAACTTGGTTGAGGAATTGGAGGAACCCATCCCACCAAATCTTCCATGTCACATTGAACTCAGCAAATTTGAATACCTTTTTAAACATGCAGAAGCAGAAAGGCTACTGAGTATNGTACAATTTTTTTTTCTTACTAATATTGCCAAAAAATGTCAGTAAATCTTATTGGTTGACAACAATGATAGTAAGTATTATTATGTTTCAATGTGAAACAGATGTTATGGGAGTAATAGTTCATGCTTTTCCATAAAAAAAAAACTTGGACTCAACCACAAGAGAATTTCATCATTGTGAATGAAGAGTATGTCGCATTAAATTTGTTCTTAGTGTTATTGTTGTTATTATTTTTTATTATTACTACAATTAATAAATCTAGCCCATTGACTTATCTCTGTGACATTTGAAAGAAAACGCTTGATGCTGCTCACTTTATGGAATGAATTCAATACTGAAGAGGGGACCCAACTTGCAAATGACATAGAAAACTCCAATGTCATCATTGCAATGAGAGTCAAAGTCACCACATATAACGGCAAACTTTTTTTCACATACTATTTAGCCTTATATCTATATGAAATATTTTTAAAATAAATAATTGTTATTGTTACACAATATATAATATGTATGCATACATTAGGTCTCTCGCT